TTATCATATTTGCCTCTTTGATAAAGGTTTTCAATTCTATTTCACTAGCAACACTAGTAACACAGTTGTCCACGTAAAAACTGTTTGACACTTTCTTAACAGTGTCTGTAGTAAAAGAAGCTTTCGAGTCATACTCATCCACAAGTTTTGACAGATGATATTCTAATGAAGCTCCCAACAAGAACGGGCTACTGTTGATTCCAAACACTACCCGTCGATGACGAAACACTTTAAGGTTGTTCTCCTTATCATACCATAGAAATCGAAGGAAATCTCTGTCTTTCGGATGTACACTGATCTGTAGAAAAGCTTTGCTAATGTCTGAAGTTATTCCAAATTTCTGCTGTCTGAACCTCAACAAAATAGCGGGAATTAGCTCAATTAAATTCACCCCCTTTTCTAGACACTGGTTCAAAGAAGGGCTATCCTTCTCTCTGGCTGATGCATCGAAAACTGGTCGTATTTTCGTAGTAATGCTACTTGGTTTAATCACTGGCCGGTGTGGTAGGTAATGGGCTTCCTGGTTCCTTTGCTCCTCCACTACCTCCTCAATAATATTGTCATTTAACCACTCTTGAAATACTTGGTCATATGCCTCAAAATAACCATCCTTAGTAATCTTCTTCACCGTGTTATCTAATCTACTTTTTGCCAAGTAATAGTTACTAGGCAGCGCTGGATGTCCCTCCAACCATGGAGCCTAACTTCATATCGAACATCGGTGTCAACAGAAATGGTTTCCAGAAAAAGTTTCTTTGCTGCTAATGCGGTTTCATCGCGAGTCTTCCTTTCCATTGGATCATTTATGCCTAGTACGTCGAGCTCCCAAAGATTCGTAATAGGGGCATTATTGACAAAAAGAGAAACCGAGATCATAGATAAGTTACTATGCGTTTCAACTGGTATCTTTCCCATTAGAGTCCAGCCTAATAGGGTCTCTATCGCTACCAAGTTACAATTCAAAATATGTCTTCTTCCAGTGTAAAGTTTGCCCGCGATATCTGATCCTATCAAAAGTTCAATTGGAGTAGAATCATATTAGTCAGATATTTCAATATTTAATTTACGAAGCTCTTCCGTCCAGGGCCCTCCAATTACTTCCTCCGAATAACCCATGAACGAGACTAATTTTTCCTTTTGACTGATATCCCAAAAATTTAGCTGTCGCCTTCAAAATATATGATTTCTGCGATCCAGTATCAATCAATGCTCGCACATGTCTCGATTTACCTAAATGAGTCATTTTTACGCGCAGCGTCTGCAAAAAAACCTGTGTGTTCCCTTTCATCCCTTTTATTGCCAGACGAGGTGTTAATAAAAACTAATTTTAGCAACTCCCGCACGTATACCTCTATTTGCAAATCATCCCGCCCGAATCGCGAAAGAAAACAGTCTACCATTTTACCATAATTGTTCCCAGTCTTCCCATTGGACCAGATATTCCACTTTATCATTTAAATCTATATCCGGATCATTATGTATCTTTTGAAACTGAGACCAGAAGGGCAACCAGTTTCTGATATTTCCATCAAACTTCTTAAGTTCTAGAGTAGGTAATTTAAATTTACGCCTACCTGATCTGCTGCCTACACTACTTTCCGAGGCCATGGAGTTTACCTCTTCACCTGGCTCGTCCCGCGGCTTCTGTAGAAAATCCTCAGCCTGTGTGTTCAGGTCGGTAAATTTCCTTAGATAAACTTCGCTACCATCTATCTCTGCCAACAAGTCTGCTTCACTTTCATCACTTTCCAACAGACACTGGTATATATCGCTGTCAACTTTTCTTAGATCCTCATATTTTTGTTTCAAAATTTCTAAGGTCACCACGATTAAACGTACCTTTCCTTCCGGCGCCGACAACAGCTCTTCCAACTCTTTCGCCGATTTAGTAAAGGTGGTACCGAGTACTTTACGGTGCTTTTTGTTTTGATCCATGATTCATAATGCACACTTGAACAAACTACACACGTTTATCAGAACAACAACAAATTAAACGTGCGGTCAAGTGTGTCCGGTTAGATCACTACACTTTCGGCACATCCGGTATACTCAAAAACGATTATTCCCGTAAACTGCCCATCCTGTCACGGTCGCCAAATGTTGGTTGTATCAATGTAAATCTACCCGTTCTACATCAATATCGTTCGATGGAATAAAAGTCCAAAATTAACAACAATAACTTCTATTCAAAAATTACAGGCAGTTTTAAAATGAAATAATTCTAAAGAATATATCGGTGGTAAGTTCACAAATGTACTGATTTAACAATCTTTTAAATTAATATAAACATGCCACGGCTTCTCCGAAATAAAAATATAATCAAAGCGGAAGTCGTTAAATTTAATTACACATTTTCGACGTGAGATATAAACATAAAAACCACGTCGCCCTAATATTAGAATAAACATCTTTTGATTGCGTCTTATGCTTAATAAGCAATAATACTCGACTTAAGCCATAAATAATAAAATAATCTACTGAGTGTCTCTGACACTTCGTTTGAATACTAAAGAATCGCTTCGGGAGGCTCCCAAATCTCAAAGAGACATACGTTGCATTCATGGAGGATTATATTGCTTCTCAACATATGATGCCGGTTCCTGAATCCGATTTTAAATCGACTATTTTTTATAACTCTCGCACAGTTTTCAAAAAACAAATTTTTATGTCGCTTCTTTTATCCAAAATTCGTACTAGCTTCGACGCCAATCTATATGGCGTTCAAGGTGTGTCGCTGATTGAAGCTTTTAATACTGGTCCTAAAGGGGCATCTAATTCTTTACTTAATTTTCGATATCTTCGTTGTTTTTTTATTTGCGATATAAAGCAAACGTATCGACAAATAAAGTAAATAAGAAATTTTGGAACTATAAAAAGGGGTTCTCTGGAGATCGGACTTTTTAAACCTCTTCAAGAGATTTTACTACGTATCGTTACTTACGGTACGTCTTCGTTTTATTTCGCTTAAAAACTCTACAAGAGTCCCGCTTAGTTTTTAATGCTCGATGGTTTTCGCTAGGCAGTGGGCCAGCAGCCATCTCGACGAACTTACGTCAGGATCACCCTTCGAGTGATTCTCTTTGATCTACTCACCTTCTGCAGTGAGAACTTACTTAATTTTTAAAGCACGATACGATGGTTTTCCGCTAGGCAGTGGGCCAGCAGCCATCTTGACGCACTTACGTCAGAATCACCCTACGAGTGATTCTTTTTGATACTACTCACCTTCTGCAGTGAGCACTCGCTTAGCTTTTAAAGCTCGATGGTTTTACGCTAGACAAAGCAACATCGTCAGCAACCATCTTTATTTATTTTTAAGGCTTTGGCTTAGACATTTTGACATGTTGTTCGTTAACACAGAGGAACTTTTCATTTTACGGTACTTGCGCCTAAAATGGAATCCTACGACTGACTTTCTCATTCTTCTCATTCTTAGTACAAAGCGGGCAATTCGTTTGTAAATCAGTCGTATTTTTTTGCTATCCTCTTGATTTTATTCCTTTTCCATATCTTTTTGCTAGTCAAACGTCTTATACAATTGTGGTACTTCAATGTATCCTGGGATGATGAAACATCTGATTAGATACATCTGACCTCTGTATTTGTATGTGTTACATTTCTGGTATTATTTCTATACACGAACATCTATCGCAAGATGGAACTCTCGGCAGCTATATTGCTAGCTGATCTAGTTACCTCTGTCATAGGGTTTTCCTTCAGATCTTTCGATATTTGATCTGACTTTACGATTGCGCTCCTTTGAACTAATTTTTCTACCCATAAATTGGGAATCGTATTAAACACATACAAAAACTGATACCACACCCTATCTTATAAGTTTCTTCTCTTCTTAAATTTGTTTCAAACGCTTTACTTTTTGCTGATAGACGAAAAAAGTGGAAATTTACCGCTTTTTGACCTTAATTTGTTAATAATAAGTCTAAAAGATCGACTGCAGAAAACCTAAAGGTTTTTGTTACAGAGGTCCATACTATTCAAAACAGCTGTTGTTTGCCTGGTCGGTTCAGTCTCACAAACAGGGTATTTTTTTGCTTGTTTCCCTGGCTGAATACATTTAAATACTTCAAGGATACAAAGCTGTTTTTTATGGCATGTCTCAGTTAAATATTATTAATTTAAATATTATTATAATTACATAAACTTAAAGTTGGTCATCTAGATCGCATTCTGCATCATCTTAATGCTTCTCAACTTGAATATCTTTACATTTATATCACGTAGCAACAGACTACGGTGTAAATTTCTCAGAAAGAGCGTTATAGTTACCAAGTACAAGTTGTTCACACCACAATGCCCAACTTATACACGAGGATCACCAGAACCCACAGATTGGTCAGCACGGGATAATGATGAAACTCAGATTTTTTTACACAATTTTTAAACATGTGCTAAACATAAAGATTTTTTAAAGAAGGTAATAAATATTATTATAAGGTTACAGTTTAATAGTTTCTACTACGCTAGTCATTAGGATTTTGTGATCTTCCTTTTAAAAAAATCATTAACATTAATTCTATTCCTCATTCGTTCAATATTTATAAATTTTTTTATTTTGCTTTTCTGCTGTCTAATGACTCTCCATATTTGTTTTTGGTGATCATAGAAGCCCGAATCTAATATTTGTGTGAATGTCTCCCAGTGATCTGTCCATATATTTTTTACTAATTTGTGCGTTCTCTTTCTTACTACTTTTTTTAAATATTTCGTACGACTCGGTGGATTTATATACGTTCTCTGTTTGTACCTCAAATAAGCTGTTTTCTTCTGACATTTTTCTTTAACGTTTTTGGCGAAACAACTCATCTTTGTTTTAAACTCCAAATTTCTGTGTAGTATAATGAATAAAAAAATACTTAATTAATTAATTAAATGATTTAAATGAAAATTAAAAAAGTTACTTTCACTTATTTAATCTAATATTTATTCTTAATATATCTAATAATTTTTGAATAAATTTTATACAATGCAATGTGTTTTAGGAAAACATATGATTTGGGTTAAAACAGTTCTTATTTTTGAATTAAGAGAACGAATTCAAAAAATGTTATATAATTTAATTCAGCTCATAGAATTTGGCACAATAGATAAAGAACACATGAATATTAATACAAAGACGGTATTATGGATGAAAAACATAGACGATATACTTGATAAAAACTCATCTATGTACGAGCAATTGAAATTTCACGCTGAGGAACTACTGCATCATTCTGTCGCATATGTCCAGGAAGAAACTGTTATTTTAGTACCTTTACTTGATATATTAGATAACATGGATGATTATAAGCGGTAAGTACAACATAATTAATTCTATTCAATATATTCAAATAATATAAGTAAAACAAAATATACAACAATAATAATTACACCTCGTCTAATTTTCTTCCGTATTTTGACCTTTTCTCGTGAAATAACTTACTAACAAAGGAGACGAGATGGGAGATCTATAGGAGAACACTGGTGATATACAAGCTTCTAGTCAGTACATAAGGCTTCTTATTTACGTGCCATCTCTGTTTTGAAGTAAGGCTATCATCATTTCTACATGGATCCTAAATACAGCTACACGTAATAGTTGATTGGAGTTATAACCAAACCACTTTCTTAAATTTCACAGCCAAGACATCTTACTTCTTCTTATACTTCTTAGTTCTACAATTTTGATGTTATCATCTACGTATCTAATATTGTTACTCGGAATTCCAATATACAAATTCCAGTACACATTTGATGTCTTCTAAATAAATCAAATAGAAGCAAATCTAGGATACCCTCCACCCCTTTATTTGAATGTCACTAATAGCATTTGGTTTTGTCAATTAAATTTTAAATACTATTAATCATGTAAAAGTAAGGTACAATTTATTACTTTAACATAAGTATCAGGTAAGAAATTATCTCTCGTCCAATTTTCCACCATGTATTATTGTTAAAGCAACATTCTATATCGTTTAGAGGTTTTACTGATGCTTCCCCTATATACTATTGATTATGTTTAAAAAAATATGGCAAAAAAGGATTACAGCGTTAAAGGAAATTTATTAATTTATATTTTCAATGGACCCTCAAATATGACAAAACCGCGAAGTGCTTTTAAAAGGGTGCGTTTTGAGAAAGGAGTGGATCAGTCCCTATGCGTTAGAGTGCTTTTGGGTGAATTCTGTGCAGTTTTCGTTCATATACATCTACAGAAAAGTAATTCAAAATTACATTTCCTATCGAACTGTCACATGTGAAAGTAAAAATAATGTTGTTTGACAATAATATATTCAAAAAACGAAGCAAAAAAAAACATTAACACACGTGATTTTCCTTTTTTTTCGTAACTTTTTTTCACGACGATAAAGGTATACCCATTTTTTTAACAAAAAAAAACCTTTATCCTTCTACTTTAAAATGATGTTTGGTAAAGTATTAATCATTTATAGTATCCCCGATACTATATTTCAAAGTTAGCCACTCACACCATTTTTTGTCCATTTTTCCCTATTTTTTCGCAAATATTCTTTTATAACTTTTTTCTACATAGCTTTTGGTATAACCGGTCGTACATTTACGTTAAAAGAAAAATCAAGTATCTTTAAAATGGTCTATAATAAAAGATTCTAGGACGAATTTTTAGTAAGACATAGGTCTTAAATATTTTTTACTTTACAATTTTTTTGTTTTTTGGCAAGTTTTAGGTTTTAAATTTCTCATTATAGATTTTTTCACGATATGTCACTGAGCCTCTAAAAATAATATAAACAAGCTGAATTGCGGCAATATCAGTTTTAAGACCCCCAAGAGATGCAAAATAGTTTGCTACTCCTACCCCGGGCTTAACATAAAACCGCCCTTCAAAAGGGGACGGAAAACATCGATTTACCAAGAATTTGTACGCCGAGAAAAAAATGTTTTAAACAGGAAATGTAGCTGAGACAGCTTTGAATTAAACTGTCTCGTAGCACTTTTTATGTAGAATGAACGGTTCTCTCAGAAATACAGCTTGAAGCGACCGGCGATTTTAAGTGTTTTACTGTGCGAAATCAATTTTTTAAATAAAATTTGTATCAACTCGACGAAAAAAAATTCGATAGCATTTGATCAGAGTCTGTCCAGAGTGTGTCCTATCGACAATAATTAGAATGGGTTTTTAAAGATTAAGAGTGCACGTTTCGTACGCATTTTTTATATTTTGCTGTAAATAGCAAAAAACCATTGCATCTATCTAAATCTGTGTAGAAAGGAGCTATAGAACAATTTAGAAAAAATAATAGGAAAAATTTTTTAAAAATGATGGTGAAATGGAGGTGAAATTACTTTTAACTTTAAAAAGGTGACATTTCTACAGTAAATTTGATTTCTGTAGATGTATAACTACAAAAACTGCATAAAATTCTCCCAGATGTACTCTAGTGCATAGGGACAAGTTCACCTCGTTCTCAAAAATGCACTACTTTAAATGGGACTCTACGGTTGTTTCATATTTGAGGGTACATTGACCGTATGAAGCAAAAAAATCCGTTTAATGTTGTAGTTTCTTTCTAAAGTACATAATCAATAGTCTATTATATTGATCGACAACTTTAAAACTGTAGTGGCCATAAAGTATATTTCCTAGTAAACATTTGAGTTTGGCACAATTTGCTGGCCTTATAACATCTTCATATAATATGCTACACGTGAAGTACATGCACCAACCAGAATATTTCACAAATAAAACTGATAGAGTATGTAATCTTAAGAAGAGGATATAATGAACTAAGCAAGCGCAGCGACGCCCAACGTGTTAGAACATATAAATAAGAGGTTTCGGGCAACGCGATGGAGAATTGACATTATATCCTAATAAAATAAAAGATCCATTTTTGGACGATATCCAAAAAGTTCAAAATAGTATTCACATGAGTATACTGTTTTTGGATTGTATATCTGCTAATTCCAATTACCAAAAATATGTAAAGAATAGGAAAACAGCACTTTTTATAAAGAAAAGCTATTGGTTGGCTACTTTATCTGATGACAGGATCCAACCAGATATGTAATATATGCTTAAGTTGCGTTTTCAAATTTTGAAAGTCTAACATACACAAATTTTGTTAATGTCAATACAACTTATTTATAATTAACTATATAAACAAAGAACTTTAAGTTATGGTGTTTTAATACAACCAAACACCAGAAAAGGTTTCAAATGAGAAAAACAGTGTTTCAGACCGTGAAGAAAATTATTTCAATTTGTTCTTATGCTGGAACTACGATATTAAGAAAAAATTGCAATTTTATAAACTGTGGCAGACATTTTCGCCGCTAGAGAAGCTACCAAAACATTTGTTTGGTAAGATGATAGTTTACATAAATAATTTTTATGAACTCATACATTCTAAGGTTATTAGTAGATAATCTGAAACATCTCCATACATACGTACACCTTTTTTGTTATGGAGATGTTTATCCGAACAAATCACAAATCCTTTCGCCAAACATAGCATAACAGTGTCTCACAAAGGCAACAAACTTTTAAATAAGTATTTCACTAAACTAAAACACAAACTCCAAAACTCAAAGTCACATGTTGTTTACGAAATACCATATATAAACTGTAAAGATGTCAATATCAGGTAAACAAGTCAACTACTTCAATCCAGAATTCGTTCTCACAACAAGAACAACGTCACTGCACTCATAAAACATGAAAATGAGAAGATGCATAAATTTGACTTCGAAAACATCAAAATTTTAAAAACCGAACAAAAACAAAAAGAAGAGGGAGATACGAATCATAGAAATAAATCGAAAACATCAAATTTAAAACGAATAAAACAAAAAGAGTGAGATATACAATCAATAAAAAAGAAATCCAAGAATAAATGACAAAAAGATACACAAAACTAAATAAAATATATTTAAATCTGATTTAAATAATAATAAATATAACACCATAAAAAGCTCTTAAAGCCATAACATATCTCTACTTTACCTTTTTCGAAAACATTAGCGATACGCCCATATAAAAATAATTATAAACTAATGACAGTAAACCATGAGATATGTCAACTTTTATGTCAGTTCATTAATGTCAATTTCCCGTTTTACGTTTTGGTAAGTTTATATATATATATATATATATATATATATATATATATATATATATATATATATATATATATATAGTAAACTCTTAAATATTGGGGAAATCTGCAAAAAAACTCTAATGTGTATCAATTATTTCACCTAACGTTTTCGCCAAAGAGAATTTGGCTTCTTCAGGGCTGAAAGAGAATAAATTATAATTAGCTACCATATATTATCTAATAAAAAACATTTACCTTACCGTGAAATGTTAGAAATGTCGAGTTATGATGTTAAAAAACTTTAGCTAGTAACAACATAGTGGTGTTTTTTGTTACTATGTGCAAAAAAGTTTATTTATTAACGTTGGAAATGTATGGTAGCTTTGAACTTAAAACGCAAAGGTTTACCCAAGGACAATCGAAAAACCCAATGTAACTACATTTAAAGGAAGTAATTCTTTGAATTGTCGGCAATAACTAAATTTTTAATTGTTGTAAAGTTTGAATGTGAGCTTCTGTTTTCATAGAACGCAAGCGCCGAAACAATTACAAGTAGTCTTTTGATATCAAAGTCGTTAAGGTTCATTGGTAAAACCGATGAAGTTAGATCCCAGTCTGGGGAGATATTAGTTTAGAATTTCTAATTGAAATTCTTTTTTATTAATTAGTATATTGTTCATGTATTATTGTAATAATATCTTATTGAGATGTATCTAAGAAAAGCAAGGGAATGTTATCTTTTTTTGTTAATGAAAATTATTATTAAAGTTGATTAGTTGTTAATAGATATATCAGTCAAGTTGGTGACCTGTGATGTTGTATTGTTCTTGGTATCTGATTTAAGTAAGAAGTGGTATATATCGCTGAGATTCTTAATGTCATTCTTAACATTGATGGAAAAATCGTTAAGGAAAATATAAGACATTTCAATGAACTCTCTTTTAGATTTATTGCTCTCACGGTGGAGAATTGTAGTGTTCGTATAGTCCATGTGATGACCAGTGGAATGGACATGTTTGGCTAATGCACAGCGCTCAGGGTGAAGTCGAGAATCACTTTTGTGTAGTGTAATACGTGATTTTAATAATTGAGATGTTTGGCCGATGTAGAAATTGTTGCAAGAGAGGCATGGAATGTTGTAGACAATATTACTAAGCCTATCTATGGGAGTCTTATCTTTTATCTTTGAATAAAGATTATTAATTGTTAGGGCTGATCTACAAGCCACATTAA